TCTACATGGGAAGTTTGTATGAAAACCTCGGAGCGCCGGTGTTTTACCCGTATTGTTATACACATCAACAAAGCAGTCTGCTTCACCGTAGAAAAGAATTGCGCAGTAACGAACAAGAACGTTCAGGTTTCGGCAACGTTGCATTATAGCGATTATGTAATGTAAAATGTAGCGAGAAATTACGTACCTATGTGATTCGAGCGCGCAGTTCCAGTAAGTCAATCGTTTTTTAATGGTTTAAACTCGAAGAAATTTAGACAAAAAATCATTTTCTCACAAATATTTTGTCTGAATTTCGATTTGATGATTTCAATTGATGTTCTTTATACAGTGATGGAACCACAGATGTCACCCGAACCTGGCACTTTGGCCAACCAACGCAACATCAAATCGATTGCTTCACACGAGTATTAAAAGGTCAAATTTCGATGGGAACAGCCGTGTTCCCAATTAAAGTGAAGGTGAGCATATTTTCAATGAATTGTCTCTGCTTCGCTGCATACACTTTTGAAATTTATCGCAAAGAATTCAAACATTTTCCAATCGATCGTGAATTAAATCTGATTTTCGTATGACTACTTTCAGGGAATGTTTTTAGATATACTGGCACGAAAGTCGCTTTGGGATGTTGGTCTAGACTATGGTCATGGCACTGGTCATGGGATCGGACACTTTTTGAATGTGCACGAAGGCCCAATCGGAATTGGAATGTATCGATCAATGCCAGACGACCCAGGACTTCAAGAGAATATGTTTGTTTCAAACGGTGTGTCATCGATTTTCATTTGATTTTTTTTGCTAGATTTCAGTTTTCCTACTCGATTTCTATTGATTTCAATCAAACTTCATGATTTATCGCAATTTCCAATTGATTCTATTTCATTCACGGAGATCTTTTCATTGTTTTAGAGCCCGGCTACTACGAAACGGGTCAATTTGGTATTCGGATCGAGGACATCGTGCAAATTGTGCCAGCAAAAGTTGAAAACAATTTCAACGGCCGTGGTGCGCTCACGTTCAAAACCGTCACAATGTGCCCCATTCACACAAAACTCATCAACAAAAATCTTTTAACCGAAAAAGAGGTACGTTCCCATTTCAGTTTGTGGATTCACAACATTGAAAAATGATTTTTTTCAACGGTTCTGTTATACAATTTTAGTTCTTTTTGTCATTCACTTTTACAGATCACCCACATCAACAACTATCATGCAACGGTCAGAGATACTTTGGAGCCGCTTTTGCAAGAGGAAGCCGATGACTTTACCATGCAATGGTTGGAAAAGGAAACGCGAGCCATATAAACGCAAAGCGTAGTTGATTGCAATGAATCTACGTTACATTCAAATGAAAGACCAAATGCAGCCATTGCAATTTTTTTTTTGAAATATTTTTTTATGCAAATCGATTTTATTGTTTTTCAGAAGTTCACTTTAAATGTCATTTAATAATAAAAGCAAAAAAATTTAATGAAGATGGTCTTCTATTTTAATCTAATAATAAACATTTTACGATATTTTTTCTGCAACGCATGCTTTTAAGCCAACGACTGCGATGAAATCCAATCAAGTATGACCTTTTGTCGTCGATTGATTCGTGATATAGCCTAATCAAGGTGCGGAAATAGTACGAAATTTCAAAAATGCCGCGTATTTTAGTTAGAAAAAAAAACTCCACTTTACATTGATTTGCTATATACCTCAGTGGCGCTAGTATCGTGAATGGGAGAAATTGACAGCTCTTCTTCCGAAACCTGAGCCTAATCTATAATTGTAATATTTCTAAAAATACAATTTCAAAGTTGATTAAGTTATTATGATGCACTGCAATTTCTGGAATTCGATCGTCGACTATAAAAGGCTTTTGCTGTTTTGATTAACTTCAGATTGAGTTTTTCAGTTGCAGTGATATTGCAAGTGCAAGATGAATCCCAAATATTTGTTCGTATTTTTATTACTACTTATCTGTCAAGTGAGTGAATTTCAATGGTGAAAAATAGGGAAAAACTTAATTGTTGTTGTTTATTTAGGTTTATCATGCTGCATCGCAAAGTGATAATGGTGACTCCAGTAGTGCAACAATAGACCCAAAAACCGTTGCTTCAGTTGCCGAATTATATTTTAATTATATTTTAATGCAACCCTCTCACGTTTAGAGCAAACTGTTCCTTAAAACAATCCAAATTTGCACTAATGATGTGTGTCCTAAATTAAACATCTAACTGCTGTTGAATGTTCCAAATTCGAATAAAGTTCAATGTTCAAAATAAAAATGGTGTATTCAAGCAAGGCGACAAAAATGAATTGTGAACGGTATAATTTGGCTATCGAAAGAGGAGTCTGCAATGAATGTCTATAGTTGTAAAGGGTTCACAATGGAACATTCAAAATGAATTTTGCACATATTCAATCATTTTGATGCAAACTGAGTGAGTTTTATGATACATGTTAACAAAAGTTGAAAAATTAAGAATGGAATTTAGTTGTCAAGTGTTGGTGCCCAAATGAGCGAGTATATCGGATTCATTGTCAACTGACACGAACGAAGTTTGGCCACTTTTTGCTTACGTTTATAGCGCATTCTGATTCCGATTGTGTTTAGCTTGCAAAAAGTCAAGTTGTTTGTGTGAGTTTAGCGCTCATGTCTGCAATCGTCGTAAATCAAATAAATAATTGAACCGACTAAGTCACAATTTGCTGCCATTTCGATCGATGTAAACAAGTTTAGACAAATATTTGCTTTGGTGTGAGCAGAGCATAACAACGTCACCGGTTGCTGCCATTAGCCTATATTGGAGTGAATGCGTCTGAAAGAGAAGAGAGTGACTGTGTGTTTAGTTTGTAGTTTTCGCGGCGAATCATATTGCGATTTGACATTTGTTGTTTAGTCTTCAATAGTGTATTATACATTTCATAAATTGGTATCGATGCTTAAAAACTAAAAACTGAACATTTCAGTGCGTTAGGTTGGCAACGCAATAAGCAAAACCACACAGAGCAGCACAGAAATATGAATAATACACACACAGTAGCCAAAATGTGTATTGAGAATCAGAATGCCACTCAAAACAACACACCAACACACAGGCGCGCACTGGAGCGGTCTCTGTGTATTGTAAATTCTCCACCGATCTGCTGTTCAGCATTCGCAATACGGATAATTTTCGTGCACCAAAATAAAAAAACAATTTTTCCCGTATACAATATATAAATATTGTGTATTTGTTTGAATGCTTTGTTTACATTGTTGTTGTTGTTCGTGGGCGACCAGTTTGCTTGATCTTATTAACGTTGCCACTCACGGCAAATCGATTGATCCATAATCGAACAGTTTTTCCCTGAAAATCAAAATCAATATTTCCCAAAAATCCATGCAATACGATGAAGCCTGGTTTTATTACCGTAGCCCCCACTAGAACTGAAATTTCAGCAACCGAATGGCCATGATCATGATACAACGAAAGTATTCTTCCTTTTTGTGCATCGGTTAGGTGTGCGCTTCTGTCAACTCGATTCATTTTGATGTTATTCAAATGTATGTGTTTCAACAAATGAAGTGAGAAGAGTAGAAAAAAGGGACAATATTTATTTGTGTTACATCCATCAATGAGCATCATCGCATAAACAAAACACAACGGGCAAGTGTTCGTGCGACCGTGCGACAGTGTGTATCACAGTAGCAATGCGAGTCAATAGACACGCTCTACATTGCTTCCTGTGTACGCACAAGCGATATAGAAAACCGCTATGCGTTTTTGGCAATGTAAAACACTATTGCCAACTTAGGTACCAATTTATGAAATAGATAATACATACATTGTGTGCGACACAGCTTGTGTTTTTTGAAAAAGTTTCTGCTTTAAATTGCAATTTAAGATTCATTTCGATTCATTTTTTTGATCAGAAGTAGTAGTGAGTATCAATATTTGGTGTGTGTGTGTTGAAATTTCGTTGTAATTGAGGAATATTCTCTCTTTTAATCAATTTTCCTTTACTTTTTTCTGTTTTTTCTGGTAATTCAAATGGCTCAAGCCGCAGCCTCAATTATTGGTATTGATTTGGGTACCACGAAATCATGCGTCGGTGTTTTTCGAAATGGAAAGGTTGAAATCATAACCGATGAACAAGGTAACCGTACAACACCATCGTACGTTGCATTCACCGATACCATTCTCGTCGGTGATGCTGCCAAAAATCAGGCCAACTAAAATCCCACCAACACAATTTTCGGCGTTATGCGTTTGATTGACCGTAGATTTGATGATCCAGTTGTTCAAGCCGATATGAAACACTGGCCATTCACTATTAAAAATATTGATTCGAAACCGAAAATTGGCCAAAACCGACAATTTTCTCCAGAAGAAATCTCAGCCATGGTTTTGGCCAAGATAAAGGAAATCGCCGAAGCTTACTTAGGAAAAACTGTTACTGAAGCCGTCGTCACAGTACCAGCCTACTTCAACCATGCACAACGTCAAGCGACCAAAAATTCCGGAGCAATTGCTAGTTTGAATGTTTTGATCTTCGATCTGGGTAAGCGCCACATTTTGGATACAAGACTTGATTTTTTCCATCAAACTACATTTACAATTTCATGCGATCAATTCACTAATAAAATGTTTTTTTTCTCTTCTTTTCTTTCCTTGAATTCGATTAGGTGGTGGTACCTTCGATGTCAATATTTTGTATATCGATGATGGTATCTTTGTGGTGAAATCAACGGCCGGTGACACTCACTTGGGAGGTCAAGATTTCGATAACAAAACGGTCACAACTTGTTGGGCAAATTCGAATTGTCAAAAGCAAAAGGAAGCCTCTATCGCCAAGAACAATCTGCGAACATACTGCAACAGCATGAAATTAAGCATGAACGCCTTTCTTGAAAAATACAATGAAGTCACCACATAGTTGGATGCCAAAAAGAAGAATTGAGCGAAAAAGAAGAATACGAACATCGTCAAAAGGATCTTGAGGCCGTTTACAATTCAACCATCGTCCAATTCAATGGAGCAAACGATGACGACGTCGTAGTCATTGAAAATGACATAGACATGATAGAAATTGATTGAAAATTGTTTTTCGATTCAATTTTATAACAAAAACCAAATATAGACTGACGATAAAAACACATTTCACTACATTTTTGTGTATTTTTTACAGTCATCTTTAGTGTCACCTATAAACAATGTTGTCTACGTATGATCGATTTAAGCAATAAAACCAAAGTGTTAGTTTGTAGAGGAATAAGCCCACATAATATGAACAAAAATTAAAAATAAAACCAAAAATGTTAATTCGACATAGTTCAAAATTGATTGTCTTATTTTGATTCCAAAAATCGTTGAAGAAAAAAAACCTACAATTTCGTTTTCAGGAAATCACCACTGTATGCGAACAAAAATTCGCAAATATTGATAAGCCGATACTTCAATCAAGCATTTGAACGGTTTGATCCACAACAAGGGACCATTGCGAATTGTCCAATCAAAACCAGTGTTAGATGCCGTTAAAGTGCCAACATTCAATTGGTAACGTGCAAATTGGGCGAACAAACAGTCACTCATTTGACATATTGTACTGCACTAATATGGTACTACACTGGCCAAGATTTGTGCTAACAAAAGTTGTGTGATCGCTTTGGATGGCGACACAAAGAACTCAAATTATTCGGACAAGTCGAAAAAAGCATTACATTGTACTGATACACATCGATTTTTTTATTCTTTAGAAGTTCGCCCCAAATGTAATTGAATGATAAAAGTAAAACAAGGATTTTTCTTTCAATGAAGAAGCTCTCCAATTTTAATGTAACAATAATAATTTCACGAGATTTTTCTTGCAACACCGATTTGTCTACAGTTGATTAAAACAGAATGAATGGTAATTGAAAACATACAGCCGTTGACAACTAATTAAAAAAAGGAGTATAAATTCAATTTTCTTTCAATTTTGCATTTATTTTGAAAATTCTTGTACAAAAGTCCATTTTGGACAATATTGGTAATTTTTCGAGTTGAAAAAGCGAATGAATTAGCAATGACAAATAAATTCGAAATAATCTACTCAGCGACGCACGTCACCAGTTGATCGGCTGGTACACAGCACATTTCACCATTTGCTACTTCGGTCATACATTCGTTCATGCGAATCAAAGCAAACTATGGCTCCTGTGTACGGTTTACCAGTTACAACGTGTGTGCGAAGCGGTTGAATTCTTGCGAAGTGAATTGTCGTCTTAGTTCGCGCTGGTAAGCCGTACTCACACTATACTCGCATCAACGAATATATGACCGAAGTTGCAACTGGTGAAATGTGCTGTGTACCAGCCAAAATTCTGGGAACGCGCATCGCTGAGTACTGTTGAAATTTTCACTGAGAACATGCTGGTTTGGTTGCAGTTAGAACTTGAAGTGAATTAAAAAAAAATTCCAAATCATTTAACCCAATGACAATCCTTCCTTCCTGAAACATTCAAAACCGCGATTGGCCCATCCACAAGCATTTTCAGTTTTTATCTTTTTGCTCGCACATTTCACCACTATTTCTCGGATACTTGGGATATTACCCTCTTTTGCAACCATGGCCACGCGGAATCGATCGATAGAACTGTCTTCATTAAAACCATTCGTTTCATTGAACATTCCCAATTTTGTGAATATACACTTGGCAAAGCATTGCGTTGCCTCACTGTTGGTGCGGTTGCCGAGTCCATGTTCTCTTACTGCATCCTCAGACACGTGAAGCGTTGTTTGACATTCACGCCGAGCTGTACCCAATGTTTCTTGCCATTTCAAGTGTTCAGAAAAAATGTCAGCATTAGTTTCAACACTCCAGCAGAAACCCTTAGTCCAAAATCAACAATCTGTTAAAAAGAGGATTATTCGTTCAAAATATACGAAAACCACTTACAACAAAAGCCAAGAAAATAGCAGTCGCGATTAATTGCATTGTGTCTTCGGCAAACAACTGTGTGAGATTGAATGTAAGCTGAGTAAAGTGACTCACTTTATACAGTACTGGACACACCTAAAATATTCCTTTCCAAACAACAATTATTGAAGGGAAAAAACACCTTGTTTTCTATCAACTTCTATTATCTTGTCTTTTGAAAATAAACAAATTTGACCTGATAAACTCAAATGAACTGAAACTGATATTTGTAACAAAATAACACATGCATATAAGATGAAATGAATTTAATCAATTGCTGCCATTGACTTTGCACACTTTGATTAGGGTTATTTTGTGTTTGAAATATAAGTAAACGGTTATTTTGCTTTATCTATGTTTGAACTCTTCGAAGAGTTGACGAGTGGTTCAGCGGTATCAAGAAATTATCAGTTTTTGGACGGATCCAATCGCAAATGCTTTTGGTTTATTTTGTGCTCTACAAAGCAACACACAAGGAATGCATCTTGGAATCGACATTCATTTAGATGAAGTTACTTTTATTGCTTTTGACTTTGCACAGGTTTGACTAGCATTGATTGATAAACGTTATTTCATCATACTGAAATGTCAATTTGTCGTATACATTGATATGCTTCATATACATTTTCAAGCCGGTGAATTGAAAATTTAGTTCAATTTTTGGATTATTTTCAACACCACAGCTTTTGCTTGGTTACTGTTTCCGACCCAAAGAGAATCGTAACACTCGTAGAAATAAGTTATGACGTCTTTGCAATTCTTGAAATTTATCGCTAAAACAGATCTATCGTTCATGTTGTCATTAATTTCATTTCATTTGGAATGATACACGTCTCTTTGAGCTCATCGAAACTGATATCTAATTAAAGCAAAGTGTTGACACTTTGAGTACATTCGAAATTCAATGGAATTTGCACGGTTCGTTGGAATTGAACATTCCTAGTTGAATTCAAACACAATATTGATACTTGAGTTGAGCTTAATTCATTCTTTTGCTGGCGCAAATCTACATTTTTCTTTGAATTGTTTGTTTATGAACCGATGTTTTCACTTGACGACCATTTACAATCCATGGCATCTCACTTACATTTCATCAGTATTTCAATTGAAATCTATAAAAAAAAATGGCAAGAAATCTTCTACTCTGTTTCGTTACTGTCGCGGTTTTGAGCTCCATTGAGTGCCGTCCCAAGTAAAAAAAGTCACATTTTTGTTTAAACCTAAGAAATCAGAAAGACATCCTAGTTTAACCACTTCATCAAGTTCTAATTGAAAGATAGTCATTTGTAAATGAATTTAATTGAAGAAGTGAAGAAAATTGAGAACTCTGGCTGCAACGTTATAGAAGTATCTCAATCGTTCGTAACGGCAGCTGAACAAGCGAGTACATGGGGTGCAGAGAACCAGAAGTAACAATTGAAAATCAAACTTTAATTTATTTCATTCCCATGTTCATATTGTCGTTTGAATTTTCGAACAAAAAATATTTCATGCTGCTCAATATTTATCGTGGTAATCATGAAAAAAGTTGACGATGCAGAGAAAAAAACAGGAATGAGCCCAAAATCAATTGAAGACTTAAAAACGGCTAAAACAAACATGATCAACACATTACAACTGTATATACAGTGTTTTATAGCCAAATTTATTCCATGATATCCAAATAAACTAACCGTCTTTGATTTCAACCACAGTGATGAACGAAATCAATTCGAGGAAGAACTTGAGTAAATGGATGTCGATGCCGAATTTAACCCTCGACTGCATGAATTTTTTCCAGCACTGGGAGTACTCTGACTTGGTTAATTTTTGGTCATATATAACGATAAAAAAAATTGATCATCCAAAATCTAAAGAGAGATTCTCATTTGCGACTTTTGAAACAGACAACTAATCCAACATTGAAATGAGTGGTCGGCAATAAAAATGACTAAAGTTGAACCACTTATGGATAACCGTAACACAATATTCTTGATTTTTACAAGTGCAACATAAATTCTGTTCGCTTGAAAGTGAATCGTAAAATATCTGTGGACTATAGAAATCGTGTTTCACTTTAATTGAAGCAAAAATATAAGATACACTTCCAAGTCCATTAGAATGATGACTAATCTTAATGGTGGTTTTGGTTGTGACTTGATTTCGGAGTGAAAATTAAGTGGTAAGGAGCGCGAATTTCAATGTGCCGATAATACCAACGGTGCACACAAAATACTCTATTAGAATCTAAAAACATTTTTTTAAACTTTTCTTCGATTTTTGCCTGTGTTACGACCGTCTACATGACAGGTTTGTATGAAATTCTCGGAGCACGACGCGGCGCGGCGCGGCTGCAATTATACATTGATTTATATGGTAAAATCTACACATGGCCAGAACTCGCATTTCCGAGCAGAATTCGGCAAAAATAATGTGTCCATCGCCACCAAAACGCTATGAATAAAACCGAGCCATCATTTCACCAGTTCCGTAGTACCAATTCACTGGGATACCCAAAACTTATGCTATCTCGCTCACACTTACGTGCAGATAATCACGTAACTGCGCATGGGCGAATGAAAAATAAAATGCATTTTTCTCAAATTTTCAAATTTATTCGGTTCTTTGTTGAACACCAATTGACAGCGGCACAAAAGAGACGGTATTCAGCTTTTTCAGGAGCCTGGAACTCCTTTTTCAAGCCTATATTCTTCTTCTTTGATTACGTCCTACCCTTGGCTTCCGGATCCAATCGAGCAACGGTGCAATCGGTTGAAAAATAACCGGTTCATCAGGATAACCAACTATGGTCATGCCCACGAGCTTGTTATTCTTTTTCGAAACCATTGGTCCTCCAAACGAACAGGGAGTTCCCATGCTTTTATCTAAAGTGTAACACATCAAATGATTTGCATCAAATCGGTCGCCCAATTTCGATTTGCAAATGGCACTATTCAAATACTTTATATCCAAACGTCTCGTTCTCGCTGTTCCATCCAATATCATATCACCATAGACAGAGACTATTTCAGATGGGTCATTCAATTTGTAATCTTTGTCCACCAAATCGATGCTGCCGACGTTGTCAGTGAACTCCAACCGTTCTTTAAGTGTAATCTTGGCAACGTCAAATGCGAATCCAGATAATTTCTCATGGATTTCTATTTGGTCTTCGGTGACTTTGATTTTTGTCGGATTGCGTGATAGTTTATTTACTATTACATAGACATATGGGGCGCCGTGCACATTATGTGCACAGGTCAAAATCTCGGTTTCCGACAAAATGATTGCATTAGAGTGTATTTGAACATCTTCGTCGGCAGTGGCATATGCTTCCTTGGTGAGGGTAAGAAATTCTGTAATAGAAAAATATCTCAGGATGAGTATTGGTTTATGAAACATGGAAAATCTCCGCTTTCGCCGCCGAAAAAAAATATGAAGATTAAAAGTGACGTTAAAAACCAGATAATAAATTGATTTAATTCAAATTCCGAATGCACACTTACTTCCCGGTACCGCTATATCGGCCATAAATTTAGCTTCGTTAGGTGAAAGCGAAGGTGGAAGTGATTTCACGCTCTGAAATAAAAGCAAAAACACATTTTGACACATTGAAATGCAAATTGGGGCATTGAGATTAGATACCTTTGGATCATGGATAAAATTAAGGAATGACGTAATTGGAAGGAACATTCCGCGACCACTTGTTGTTCCATTTATACCCATAGTTATGCCCACGATTTTGCCATTTGTTTTTGAAACGACTGGTCCACCCGAGTCGCCGTGTGTAATAATTTTGCCATCGTTCGTAGCTTCGCCAGTTGTAAAGTACAAAGTCTCAACTGGGTTGAATGTGTTGGTCCGTTCGACATCAGATATATAGTTCGCATCGCAACGCCTCAATATCATTGGTGAATTCAACGCGCCATATCCATAGACAGTGACCACTTCTGATGAGTTATTCAATTTGTAAACCTTATCCACGAGTTCGATACTGCCAACTGTATCGCTGAATTTCAACGGCGTTTTCAGTGTAATTTTGGCAATATCAAATGCACCAACAATTAAATGACTATAATAAGGGTGATATGCAATGTTCTCTTTTTCGACTTTGATTAGGTTTTTTT